GGAAGAGACGCACACAAAGAAACCCAACCCGTGGGTTGTTTTGGATGCGCTGGACACCCTTCGCTCCTTTTTCAGGGCACATGACGACGACGTAGCAATGGACCACCTTTTCCAGTGCGAAGAGAAAGCTTTGAAGTTGTTGCATGACAAGGGTCGGCAAAGTAAGTTGACAGACTTCTGGCAGTAAATTTTTGTTCTGCTGGCCGTATTACTGTTTTTATGCCTCATACTCGCCGCAACGAAATTCTCGCTTAAAACGAAATTTTTCGGTTTCCCCGGCAATTTCGTTATTGTGGGTTTCGACTGTAGTAAGATAGCATGGTCTCCGTGATTGGTCGAGGTCACAAAAACGGTGTTGTGCTATATTCTGACACTAGGAGAGAACAATATGTATTGATGTTATCATCATCACATGCCTGCCAAGTCTCCCGCATTGTCCGGGAGACTCCCGAATTTCGACCGTTTCTTCCGTTTGTACGGTTGCCATTAAAATCTCCCGGAAATCGAAATTTGTGTGCGAGATCTGGCCGCATTAAGAAAAATGCAGGTCAGCCCGCTCCAGGCTTTTTGCGAGCCCACTACATTTTATTATAAATGAATTTGAGAGGCGTTCATCTAAACTTACAGTAGTCTCTGTGATATAAAACCGCAACAGATATGAATTCGTGAATTTCCCTAGCCAAATTCATGTGTCCATTGGGCCAAAATTTGAATGTTCCGAACACTTTTCCTAATCGTGACGTGTGATATCAACTTTAGTACCGAAACCATCGAACGTAGGCCGATCAAGAGCAGCGTGCTCGAAGCTTTGGAAGTACGCGTGCAACCAGCGCACATATATATCTTATACAGTGCCTGTTGTTGTCGTTTCCACAACCGCTGTGGTCGAAAGTGCAGTCGTTCGACACGATCATGTATGGCGACGACGTTACTGACAGTACTCTGAAAGTGTGCGCTTGGCCACAGCTCGACCAGTCACTGCAACGCTGCTTTCCATGAACTCTGTGAACAAAACTACGGCAGCTTCGACCATAGGTAGCATAAAACGACTTAGTTTTGACGGCACAGGTGTCGAAAACAAAACTACCATTTGCAGCAATCGGCGCGCACAAAACAGCGGTCGCAGTGATGCGATAGCGATCTACGAGCTCCGAGGGCACGTGGCTGACACAACTGTAGACTACAGGCGGTAAAGACGTATAAAAGGCTAGAAGCCTTCTTGCATTCCTGTTCAAATATCTAGCAGCGAGCAAAGCCAAAGCTTTGACTTGCGCTTTCGCGATAGCCAGCCATGCTGTTGCATCCGTTCAGATGGGAAGACATACGCGAGTTGCTTTGATGCAAATTGATTTTTTGCTCGGGGGAGGGGGGGGGGGGTTTGATGACGCGAAATTGAGATAGCCACCGTAGTGAGAAACCCTACTGTTGTTTGTTTGGCCACTCCAAGCCATTACAAGGCCGCAACGCCAATGTTTGCACTTGCGCTTGACGCCCCGCCCCTCTTGTTTTTCACGATGGCTTTTTTTTTGTTTTTCTTTTGATGCCAAAAAATGGAGAAAATAATTCAGCGCGTCGATTTGACGTATGGCAGCAAAACATAATTATCATCATCATCATCAGCCTGACTACGTCCACTGCAGGACAAAGGTCTCTCCCATGTTCCGCCAGTTAACTTGGTCCTGTGCCTGCTGCTGCCAATTTATACCCGCAAACTTCTTAATCTCATCTGCCCACCTAGCCTTCTGTCTCCCCCTAACCCGCTTGCCTTCTCTGGGAATCCTGTTAGTTACCCTTAATGACCAGAGGTTATCCTGTCTACGCGCTACATGCCCGGCCCATGTCCATTTCCTCTTCTTGATTTCAACTATGATATCCTTAACCCCTGTTTGTTCCCTAATCCACTCTGCTCTCTTCTTGTCTCTTAAGGTTACACCTACCATTTTTCTTTCCGTTGCTCGCTGTGTCGTCCTCAATTTAAGCTGAACCTTCATTGTAAGTCTCCAGGTTTCTGCTCCGTAGCTAAGTACCGGCAAGATACAGCTGTTATATACCTTCCTCTTGAGGGATAGTGGCAATCTACCTGTCATAATTTGAGGGTGCTTGCCAAATGTACTCCACCCCATTCTTATTCTTCTAGTTACTTCAATCTCGTGGTTAGGCTCCGCGTTTATTACCTGCCCTAAGTAGACATAGTCTTTTACAACTTGAAGTGCACTATTACCTATCTCGAAGCGCTGATCTTTTCCGAGGTTGTTGTACATTACTTTCGTTTAAGACCCACCTTTCTGCTCTCCTTGTCTAACTCCGTTATCATGAGTTGCAATTCGTCCCCTGAGTTACTCAGCAATGAAATGTCATCGGCGAAGCGCAGGTTACTAAGGTACTCTCCATTAACTCTTATCCTTAACTGTTCCCATTCTAGGCTTCTGAAAACCTCCTGTAAGCACGCGGTAAATAGCATTGGGGAGATTGTGTCCCCATGCCTTACACCCTTCTTGATTGGTATTCTGTTGCTTTCTTTATGAAGCACTATGGTAGCAGTTGATCCCCTGTATATTTCTTCCAGGATGTTTATATATACTTCATTGACGCCCTGATTCTGCAGTGTCTGCATGACGGCTAATATTTCTACTGAATCAAACGCCTTCTCGTAATCTATGAAGGCTATGTATAGTGGTTGGTTATATTCTGAGCATTTCTCTATTACCTGATTGATAGTATGAATGTGGTCGATTGTTGAGTAGCCTGTTCGAAATCCTGCTTGTTCCTTTGGTTGATTGAATTCTAATGTTTTCTTTACTTTGTTAGCAATTACCTTTGTAAATAGCTTGTATACTACAGAGAGCAAGCTAATCGACCTGTAATTATTCAAGTCCTTGTCATCTCCTTTCTTATGTATTAAGATGATGTTAGCGTTCTTCCAAGACTCTGGTACTCTTCTCGTCAGGAGACACCTCGTAAACAGGGTGGCTAGTTTTTCTAACACAATCTGTCCTCCATCTTTTAGCAGATCTGATGTTACCTGATCGGGTTCAAATCCCGGCTGTGGCGGCTGCATTTCCGATGGAGGCGGAAATGTTGTAGGCCCGTGTACTCAGATTTGGGTGCACGTTAAAGAACCCCAGGTGGTCTAAATTTCCGGAGCCCTCCACTACGGCGTCTCTCATAATCATATAGTGGTTTTGGGACGTTAAACCCCACATATCAATCAATGTTACCTGATCCTCACCAGCAGCTTTGCCTCTTTGCATGCTCTCCAAAGCTTTTCTGACTTTTTCTATCATTACTGGTGGGAAATCCGTCACAGCTACAAATGAAAAGACACCAGTGCTGGAAACCAAATTAATGTTCTTGCACGAGCACTCGATATGCTCATCTACTCTAGTGCATCTAAACCAGCCTTTTCAACCAAGCGCACAGATATCCATTCCGCAGAAACAGACAGTAGACCACAAAATGACGCTGGTTGACAAAATGATGCTGGTTGATAAAACAACGCTGCTTGCGTGCTTGGATGTTGGACTTGCTCGGGAACGTCATGCGCACGCGACCATTTGCTCAGATGCCCGAGAGGGTTGGGATGAGATTTGACTTGTGACAGCTACGCGAGGCACACGGCAAGGGTTTCGAGCTCGCCTCCAAGCATCATTCTTTCATGCCGCTTCAAGATGCCAGTTTTCAGCTCGTAATGAACATGTTGAAAAAAGTTTTGTGGAATAATGCTCTTCATCGAACACAAAACTGCCATGGTCTAACTAAAATTTGTTTGGAGCCTTGTGAGTGGCCCTTTAAGCAGCGATCACTCTCATCTGAAGAAGCTGTTTAAATGAAGCAGTGTCTAGATACTACCAGCTCTAACACATCTTTACAAGCCATTTTATAATTTGCTGTGGAGATACGAGCCCACAAACAATACACTTGTATTACGATGAATGAGGGGCTCAAAAAATTCTGCTTATAAGATAACGACATATTTTCAGGATTAACTACTGTAGCTGCAAATACTATGAAGGGTAAGCTTTCTGTCGCGCCGGAAAAAAACTGGGTAGAAAGAAAATCTGCTGTCAGTCCCTATTAATGAAGTTCAATACCACATCGATGTTTTTTCAGTGGGATGCAAAAAAAAAAAGTGGCAATGTTGGCAACTTAGTGAACTTTGCTGCCAATAATTTATATTTTTGATTGAAAAGTGTTAATATAAGGTTTTTCAGTTTTATAAATAAGCATACTGAGAAAGTCAGTACAAACTGCATCCAAATATTTTATTTATTCTTGATTCAGGACTGATTCTGGCATTTTTTTTAATTTCCTATTTTTGACACTTTGGCGTAATAAAACCAGTTGACGATTTTTCAGGTAGAAAATGCTAGAGAGGGCATACAAGTTGGAGGCCGGCAAATATACAGTTACACCAGGCCCCGGAAACTCTGCGCTAGTTTCGGTTTCAAGGAATATGCACACTCATAGCGGTTGCCGGGCACCAAAGATCTGGTTGAATGGAGTGGGGTTGATGTGAATGCTAGTATTTATTGACTTTCACAAAGACAGTTAACAGAGTGCATAGAAAGCTTGTAAAGATTGTGCTTCCACTACTGTAGCTGAAGCGTGAGGAAATGACATATTTGTGCAAGAATAAGAGGAGGACTCCGGGAAAATACTGGGCAGTGGCCTGAGGCCGCAGCTCTATAGAAAGATAGGGCTGTCCACAGATAAATAACACACAGTGACTTAGTTTAATCTTTAGGGGTATTTAAAGTAAATATGCATGTATTTGTGCATATATCGATTTGTAGCAAAACTGACTAAGACAAATATTTGCATTGAAAACTGTTTGCTTAGTGACTGCTCCACTCTAGAGAGAGATTTGAGGTGCTCAAAAAGAGACTGCCTTCTTGCACGGCTAGGTAGCAGCTGATGCTTGACCATCAAGGGAAGGGAGTCTTTCAAATGCCTGTGCGACACTCGTATGAGCAACGCACAATTGAATGCTTTCTGTGCAGTGGACGGTGGTCATCGAGCAGTGATTTTCGATCGCTTCACTGGCGTCAAAAACTATGTTGTTGGTGAAGGCACACATTTCCTCATCCCCTGGGTCCAGCGACCAATCATTTATGATGTGCGGTCACGGCCACGCAATGTGCCTGTGGTCACTGGCAGCAAAGGTGAGACTTTGGATGGGCATAACTTTGAATGGGCATGCTTTTGGTACTACGATAAAGCGTCAGTGATACGAATCGCGTGGGTTTTAATTTAAACATGACTGCAAATGAGAGCTCAATTGCTGACGATAAGTGCCTCTGATGGCCTATTTTGCCAAATAGGTGGCACAGCTCACGCTTGGGTTTCTATGCCTACGTGTGATTGCTGTGTCTCACACGACATTGTTGGCACCACCTGTTCGTACCTGTGCGGTAGTGTACGTGTGTGTCAAACATTGTGGGAGGAAAATTTGTTTGCAACATCTATGCTCCAATTATTCGCCTGGTGTGCGACTGATGGTGGCGCTGCGAACTGCACCTGTGACGTCGGAGCGGGCATTCGCACACTTTCATCCGCTACGTAGGCTCGGCGCCATGTAGAAATTACCGTTGTGGTTAAACTCTACAACAAAGCGATTATGTTTATTTTGTGTGTGGTGGCTACCGACGCTGTTTGAACAACGGTAGGTCTCTGCTTTTGACGTTCATTTCAGAAGCACAGTGCTTTGTTTCTTAGAACTGCGGCCGCTTGTCTCCGCGGAGATTTCTGTGCTATGGTGAAGTACCACTCTGTGCCTCAGTGTACTTCGTCCACCTGTGAAGAGGGCGTTAGCTTTCTAAACTATCCTAAAGACCCAAAGCTGAAGTGGAAGTGGACAGTAAAGCTCGGAATGTGAAAGCGTACCACACCTTTATGGACCGTGTGTAGCAATCTCTTCGCTGACAGTGACTTCCGCTTTACCTGCCGTACGCACCACTCTTCAGTAAGCTTGTAACCGTGTTTGAGTGCCTCACCAGTACTTCAGTCATTTATTGTATGCAGTTATAAGCATAGGTGACTTGCACTAGGTTTAGTGCCGTCTCAAAACCTGCCGCGAGGGTCCCTGGACAGAGAGCTGACGGGGCGGCTTCCAAATCGCCTCGTTGGCAAGTGTGCTGCTGAATGCTGCTGGATATCTGAGACTACGGCTTTATTTGGTTGGTGTATGTAGATAAGTGCTTTACTTGTGAACTCAAGCTCACGCCTAGTGGACTGCTAATCATAAGTTCATAAGCGAGACCTGCTGCTGTCATTTAGTGCAAATTTTGTAAAGGTTTTCAGCTTAAACAGTGCAGACACTTCTTAAAGGGTGGAGCTTTTTAAGCTCCTTTTTTATGCCAGATGCGTGAACAGAAACCTAACCCAGCTTGCCCTTGCTCCGTTAATCTCTATGACCCTGTGCATGGCATATATAATCAGTGATAACTATTTGATATATTTCCTGATTATCAAGAGACGACCCTGTGTGGTATTAATGTCAACTACTTCATGATACCGATCTCACTGAATCAACATTACTGGGAAAAATTGTAGTTATTTGCATTGGCCAGGGGGTGCAAGAAGGCGGAACTTGCCATCTCCCTCAGCCACGCCAGCACCTGCCCTCTTACTGTGATACAACATGGGCTTGCGTCCTCAAGACAAAACTCTGCTGACGCCCATCGCTGCAATTCGAGCATGAATACCTCAAATTTGGTAATTTGATGCTACTCTGCGTTTCTAGTAAATGCTAGGCACGATCGATTGACTACCATACCAGTAATTTTAATAGTGCCCTATAGTAATTATCTCGTGCGTTATTTGTGAATGCCAGGGGGGCAGAAATAATGGACAATTATCACATATATTTTCGTGTTGACTGTCACTAGCGATGTACTGCAGAAAAAAAAAATTCCAAGAATAGTCTGCACACTTTTGTCTTTAGTAGAGGGTGCAGCTGACCTTCTGCCTTAGTATAGCTGTGAAAGCTATTGTCCTTCTGACGGGTAGATGATGTACACTGAGGCACGCTGAGCACAACTTCACAATTGTGCAGCACTTGCTGCTGCCTTCGGCCTGTATGTATAACTATATATATATATTATCCCCAGTTTCAATTGCCATAGGGTGAATTTTTAAAATAAGAGACGAAAGTTTACTTGAGTAGCAGCTCTCGACTATTTTGAAAGTAGCGATCGTCCGTGGGAGAGCTGTGGCTCTAAGCAGCTAAGCTACTGACTGCACAATGGCTGTTTCTTTGCTTTCAGGATGGGAATGTCTAGGACTAGCTTGATGATGAGTAGGCAGTCCAGTGATATTTTTTTTTATAATGGGCTTGCACTTTTTTTTTTCTTTTATGTTTGGTTATGAGGGGGTCGACCTACATGAGTTGACTTGCAAACTGCGGTATGCACACATTCAGAAAAGATTCATGCATAATAATAGGCGTAGCCTCGTTCTTTTGTCACACACTTATTTGGATGGGGCTGTCTTCTCTAAAGTACCCTTATAATGACCTAAGGTGAAATTCTCAAAAGTCCCTCTGCCTATTATCATTCTTTAACTCCTTACAAAAGGTCATTTTTATATGTTGGGAAGTGAGCTTTTGTGACTATGGAGCCAGAGCTTTTTGTATTGGTATTGATTAGGTGGACTAATGAAATCTATCAAGGTGAGTTTGTTATATAGCCAAGTATTTTAAGTGCCTTCCGTTGTTTTATTAATGCCCTTCACTTGTTTGTAGTCTAAACAGTTTGGTAGTTTACACTTTCTGTCGGCATAAGTGTTACTGTAACGTGTGTGTTGCCTGCTTTTCAATGGAGGCAAAATGCCCCATGTACTTAGATCTAGGCGCTTGAAGGTCGATATTTGTGGGACCTTCTACTACGGTGTCCCTCATATCAATAATACAGTGTTTTTAGGACATCAAGTCCGAGTGATTACTATTACATAGCATATGTTACAAGAGTCGAGTTTGCCTTTCTTACTGCAGACTTACAGAATGTGAACATCACGCTGCGGATCTTGTTCCGGCCGGTGCAAGAGCAGCTGCCTCGCATGTACACAACTCTGGGTGTTGACTATGATGAGCGTGTGCTTCCCTCCATCACCAATGAGGTCCTAAAGGCAGTTGTGGTAAGATCTTAGCTAGTGAACTGTGTATTTTCCAAAAGAATCATCCTGCAATTGTTTGGCCCCTCATAGGATACTGAATGTGATACTGAATAGGCGCTATCAGCCCAGCACGCCAGGCTAATAGTGCTGACTCCTGAAAAGGGTTGCGGCCATTATATTATGTGGGTTGAAAGTACCATTGGTTATTTCTCGACCAAATTGAATGCACAAATTTGTTCAGTTTCTGTTCTAAATAAAATGTCGAATTCTCTGAACCCAAACTCTCCTTCAGGCCCGTGAAAAAATAAAAATAAAATTCTACCGGGAGCACAAGCTGCCATCAGCAACCCATCCAAATTTTGAATGTAAACATTCGACAGAAGTCTGTCTGGTTGGGTATGAAACTGGGAGATGATTTAGACTCCAACCAAAAGTTTCTTAAGAAACCCAACGTTTCGAAACAGACTTGTTTCCTTCCTCAGGGGTGACTGCGGAGACTACGCAGCAGTGGTGTCGAGTCTTCAAATCACTCGCGGTGAGGATAATGACTCCCCTCTCTCTCTTGTTTTGCCGTGGAGCGCAGTCCATGTGTATACACTGGGGGAAAGGTTCAGAGAGAGCGGCTGATGTTACGGGCGGTTCTCTGTATGTGCCACGACTCGAGTAATAACCTTCTCCTCCAGTTCGGCTCGCTTTCAAAGAGGGCTGTCGCTTCGAAATCTATCCGGTGATCCAACGTCTCGGCATGTTCGGCGACTACGCTGCGCTCTTTGTAGAACTTCCGCACATCGTTGGCGTGTTGCTTCAGTCTTCCGGTAGGTTTTTCGTCTCGCCGATATACGAAGAGAGGGACTCGGCGCATGGAATTTTGTAAATGACACTGGGGAATCCTGTCCATTGTTGGCTGGTCTTTCGGGAAAGGGAGGAGGCGGCCCAGAGTACACGAAAGCATGTGCGCGATGCAAACCGCTTCCTTCTTGAAGATGGGTGTCAACATCTCGTTGGTTCCCTGAACGTATGGAACTGGTACGCGTTTTGGGGGGCTGCCAATTAAGGTTGATTGGGGTTTTCATATTCTCTGTATCAGTTTCTTTCTGAGGTCCGCAGTTGCGCGGGCCTCTTTTTTCTTTCACTCTGTGTCATTGGAGCATAAGTTCTTAGCTCTCTCAAGTAGCGTGGTCACAACCGTGGTCTTGTGGCAGGCAGGGTGGGAAGAATCGAATCGAAGGTAACGGCCAGTGTACGTGGGCCTCTTATGAACGGAGAACTCCAGGCCGTTGCGCTTTATTGCCACCTGGACGTCGAGAAAGGGCAGGCAGTGGTCGCTTTCACACTCGGTCGTGAATTGTATGGCTGGGTGCATGGAATTTAGGTGTTGTCTGAAGTTTTCAACTTCAGACGTCTTCATGACGCAAAAGCAATTGTCCATATAACGCAGAAAAAGCTTGGGTCGCAGCGAGAAAGAGCTGAGTGCTTTCTTTTCTATGTACTCCATGGTCAGGTTTTCCATCGTGACGGAGATGGAAGCTCCCATCGCGGTTGCACTGTTCTGCCTGAAAATAGTTTCTTTGTAGGAGAAGTACGTACTGGACAGGCAGAACTCCAGTAGACGGCAGAGCTCGTCAACTGCCAAAGGAGTCCTTTCACTCAGGCTTGCGTCCCCCTCAAGCCCAGAACGGGCAGAGGAGACAGCTAAGGGAACTGGCACGCTGGTGAACAATGAAATGACGTCAAATGAGACCAGGCTCTCGTCATCGTCGATGCTCACATCTGACGCTAGCTGCGTGAGGGGGCTGGAGTCACGGACATGAGTTGGTGTCTTCCGGGTTAGTGGGGCGAAGATTTGGTGTAGAAAATTTGAAAGGGCTCGGCATGGGGAGGAATTGAAGTCTACAATCGGTCGGAGGTGGACGTCAGGCTTGTGAATTTTTGGTAGTCCATAGAAACTCGGTGCGGATCCATTACGGCAGATTAGTCGCAGGTAAACTTTACTTGCGACTGATCTGTTGTAACGGATCCGCACCAAGTTTCTATGAACTACCAAAAATAGTTCTTTTTTGAATTATTGATAGTATCGATAATCTATTTAACGGTAGTGCTGCATCACTAGGGCATAAATTTTTTTAACCAGCCCTTTTATTTATTCGATTTCAAAACATCTTGGCTGAAAACTACGTAGAAGTGCTGTAAAAAGTGTTTGTGCCTGCCGAGGTGGCGAATAATATTGCGCAAATCACACATGTAAGAACCCTGTTTTTTTAAAATATAGCTCCTAAATGGCACAATCGTAGAACATTGCGCTACTTTTAGTGATGTTTTCGCACTCATGCTTACGGGTCGCGATTTAGTTAAGGCAGCTGCAAGCGGAAGTGCAGTTATCAGATTGCAATAGCGGCAATAGGGCGGTGCTTTTATCGTGAACGTTGCACACGTACGTCGGCCTCAAATGTTGGTGGGATCTGAAGCACTTGGTGGAGCGGCGTGTGACGGAGTGTTGAAGCTATCGGCCTCAGCAATGAACGACTGCGCGTTTAGACCATGAACCGTTGCTGGGTCTTATTGCGGGGGCCGCGACAGACATCCTCAGCACTATTTGTCACGGTATGGGATGCAGCGATGCAGTTTTTAGTTGTTCCATCCCGCGCTGCAGATCCCGCAAACTCTTTATTCTTGTGATCGAACATAGCATATTTTAAAACATAGGGCACTGCGGTGACGCACATCACAATAGAGTTTTCTGCTTGGAGTCAAGGCTAGGCCTAACTCCGCTCTGAACTTTGCGGACAAGACCATCGCGCTCATGAACATGAGAAAGCGAAAAAGCGATAGTGTGCTGCAATCAAAAGGTGGATAGCAAAACGGTGCGTCATCTGCCACGCTACTTCTGGTTCGAGGTCTATCCCCTTACTGCTTGAAGGTGCCTGCTGCGCAGTGTAATCGTGGAGGAAATTCGTGCAATGTTGTGATGCGTTTATAGCCGCTTGTTCACTGGTTCAGTTCTTCAATTTTTCTTGCGAATAGATAGATGATGTATCACGCACTTTGGAGAAGGAAGCGAGAACTGGAAATGAGCAAACACGAGGAACGTTGAGAGGCGGGTTTCGAGCGCAGCATGGGTTATGCTTTGAAAAACAAAGTAATATTTTGCAGAATCACCTCAATTTAGCATTTTCGGGCACCAACGGTGGTCGCCTTGAAGTCATTCACACATAAGCACATGCTGCCGAATGTCAAACTACGTAAGATGACAACTTAACACGCATACGCTACCCGATCAAGTACAACAATATAGCGTATTTGCATTGCATATTCTGTATCGCCAACTGTTCGTAAAATAATGAAAACAACTCAGCGCGTCCAACGTCTGGGACAAAGCGGCCGCTCTATTAATGGTATCGTGTGGCGTAAAATGATTACAGTCACTTTTGAAGCAACTATTAGCGTGGTATGGCGTCTCTAATATGTAAGGCTTGCAAGTGTGAAGGGCTAATTGGCTGTGTTATGTATGTTGAGTGAGGAAAATTTCTCATGCATTGAAACACTTTGTTCGAGTGCATTAGGGAACGTGATCCCACGAAAAAAGACATGGAAAGGCATAAAAAAAGTCAGATAACCAAGAGTGCATTTCACTTTTAAGTAAGGAACAGTTTACTATTGTCATTCGATATATCGAGCTCGGAATCGTAACTTTGAAACACAAAAGTAAATGAATAATTTTACGGGTGAGCAACATGAAAACAAACGGGCAGATATTTTGTGGTGCTATGATGCTAAAAAAATGTATGTGACAAAGCTTGCGCGATAACACCCTTTGCTGCAAAAGAGCAAGCATGTGTCCGGAGGTGCATGCCACTTGAATGAAGAAATGACCACCTGCATGATTATAGCTATCTCGTAGTGACTGCACTTGTGATTCAACTCACAATATGTGAGTTACTTCAGGGCGGGAGGCCACTGAGGCGAAGAACTTAGTCACTGTGTTATGACTATGTTCCCTTTTGGGGGGCAAAGGGGGAGAAGGGGAGCAGGCGAAAATTGGGGAGAAAACTCTAGCGCCCCCGTGCCCACCCCTAGAGCCGCCCTTGGTTTGATCCCGACCACGGTGGCCGCATTTCGATAGAGGCGAACTGCCACAAGCCCGTGCGCTGTGCAATGTCGGTGCACGTTAAGGAACACCAGGTGTTCAAAATTTCCGGTGGACAAAATTTTAGAGGACCTCACTCGTGGCGGGAATCGAATTCATGCGATGCTAGATTTTCTGCTTTCAGCATAGCGTTACGAGATGCATATATATGCCATCGAGTTGAGTAGTTTATCTACTCGGGGGCTCACGAGAGACGTGGAATTCACTGGCGCCTAAAGCGTAGCGACTATTTCATAATGCTACTCACGTTGAAGCACATGCGCAAGTTTCATCGAATTAACTGCATGCTATGGTACCTGCAATGCATGTAACACTTAAGCTTAGAGTCATAATAGTGTATATGTAATGCTTATTGCATTGTTATAAAATTTAGCAAAGTGAGGTGTTCGTCTAGTTGATTTTTCATCCCTGGAAAAAATTATGCTACACTTGCTACAGAAAACAGAGAGGAGGCAAAAAAGAAGTGGACAGTACAAGCTCAGTACAAGTGCTTGTACTGTCCACTTCTTCTTTGTCTCCTCCCTAACTTCGTTTTCTGCAGCAATTGTAGCGAAATTTTTTCCAGTCATTGTTATAAAAGCAGTCTGCCAACACCGTAACTACATTGCCCTTACATCACCACGAAAATCTTTTTATGCAGAACCTTCAACCCTCAGCAGGGCTTTGTGATAGGTTACTCTGAATGGATACGTAATTTTCATTCTTTGCATCGATTGAAGTGTTTCGAGAAACAGGTATCTAATGCTATTCTTCTAATGTGCGTCCAGCGCACATATCCAGCACTTTATGGTATGCCCGCGGTATGCAGGTATGAGCCACACGTGACTGAGGGAAAGGATTTTACGACCTACGGACAAGAATATTGACACAATGTAAC